TTTCCTGTCATTTCCTTACTTATGGTATCTGCTGTTTCCCACTGATCTGTGGGTCCCTTCGTGGAATGCAAGCCTTCGAGAAGGTTCCCAGATGTGCGAGTATGTAGAAGTGTTTGATCAATATTGGTTGAATGAATTAAGCAAATAATAACACAGATAAGGGTAGAATTACCCCATGATAGGTACTGGATTGAGAGAATGAGTAAAATGTATTTGGAGTATGAATAAAATGAAGACTGAGATCCTCCAGCTGAACTCTGTCACTTTGTGTTTGCTTTTCTTTGAAATAGTATTCAGTGTTTATAAGTGTCCTGCCTGGCCAAGATTATTCCTCTCATTTTTGTCATCATCATGTTTTTCCTGTGGCCGTGGCCTCGGAAGAGGAGAGGACTTGGATGGTAGGCCTGTGGCCCAAGGCTCTGTCCCTGGCATTCCCTGGAGGGAAGGCAGTGAGGGATGGTTGGTGTCCAGGCACGTATGTGTCAGGCAACAGGAGCCACTAAACACACCCAGAGGCGGAGATAGTGGGATTTAGAACAATTGTAAAAATACCTGGCATGCCAGCCAGCAGGAAGGCAGACAGTGGATTCATGAGGTTCTCAGGGCTCTGTTCCTTCCTGTGAGCCATGAGAGAGAGAATTCTGGGAAAGGGCACAGTGTGTTGGGTATACAGGAGAAGGGGCTTGTGCAGAAGCAGGACCTGGTAACATAGGAGGGTCTGCTTGTGAATGTCATAAACTGGCCAAACAACTTGATCCCCAGGACCCCACCAGAGATGGAAAAACCCACTTCTCTGAAGCCAGAGGACAATGACATCAGAGGGCTAATGCATCAGAGAAATTACGTGTCAGTCAGAGCCCTGGCAGCAACCAGTACCATCTGGGGTGGGGACGGCGGATCATTTTGTGCTCAGCGGGTCCCCTTTCTTCTGTCCCCCTCCTTGGACATCTTCAGACGAGGATCTAGCATGCCTGCAGTCTTTGGCCTGATTGATGAGCACCTCTTCCAGAGACCAGGGATGGACCTCAGAAGAGCTGCATGGAAGCAGACTGGACCATCTGTGTGCCTTGCAGTACTGGATCACCCGGCAGCATTTTTCTGCTGTCCTAGTAGTGGACCCAGAGCTCAGCTCTTTTTGGTGAGCAGGGAGGTGAAGCGTGCAGATGGAAACGGCCTAGTGCTAGGTCTGTGGCTAGGAAAGTGTGAGGCCATCTGCAGGGGCTGGGCAGGAGCTTTGGTGACCAAGGAATAAGGTGGTAGATGGAGGGACTGGGCAGGTCCTCGGAGCTCACAGGAGAAGGAGTGCCTGGAATCCTGCCAAAAAGGACTCCACTGCCACTGCTACCGGATCTAGTCAAACCAGCCCTATCTCAAGCCAGAAGCTTCGCTAGCCAGTCTTGATGTCTGTGGTTCCAGCAGGAACATTCCCAGGTGAAGGAGCCATTCTGGGCACCAGGGCTTTCGAGGAAGGCCTCCAAGACGTGTTGCCATTTTATCAGGAGGCCCAGGCAGAAGAGCATCGAGCCGGAACTAAGGACAGAGACAGGAGCCACATCTGCAAGAAGACCCAGGAAAAGAGCTGCTATTGGTGGTGACGCCTCAGCGACAACAAGGGATTGGACTCGTTATGATTTAAATCTAAACCGTCCCAGGGGGTTGGGGATTAAAAAAAAAAAAATCTAAACCGTCCCCTGAAGCCACCTCTTCAGAGTGGGGACATTTGGAAGGTGACTGGATCGTGGAAGTTTGGCTCCCTGGTTCTCCTCCGCTCAAACTCTAGCACAGCCTCCCAGTAGAAGACACCCTCACAAATGCAAGGAAAAGCTGGGAAGGGCAACTCTAAAGTGAACACACAAACAGCGTAAAGCCGGGAAGACTGCCTTACAGTCCAGATCAGTAGGTCCTGGAGTGGGTATTTGGAGAGAGCCAACAGTTCCATCAAGGACAAAAGGAGCCAACAGCCAAATGCATTTCTCTGTGCTACACATCTCATGCCCATTGAGCCTACTAAAGGCTCCTGTAGAGAGTGTCTAAGTTCCCCCAACTCAGCACTGCTGAAGTTTACATACGGGGAATCTGTTCCATGTATGGGTGACATATGTGTGACAGCAGCTTACATTGCTCAGAGCTGGGCCACTGGACAGGCTAGGATCTCCTTTCTGCCAGATGGGCCACATGGCTTCAGCCAAATAATTGAGCCACCCTGGATCTCAGACATGACTTGAGAAATAAGTTGCCCCAGCGGTGAGGAAAGCAAAGTGTGCTTTCTGCTGAGAGTCTTTGGACCTGTGTGGCTTCCACATCACCCCTCTGTGGTTCTATATAGTCTAGGGCCATGGGACAGGAGCAGGAGTGAGTCCTTGGGACAGTACTATGCTGGGAAGCACTGCCAAGAGCCCAGCAGGAGCCTTGTCTGCTCTACCCATCCAAAGACCAGCTGACCAAACAGCCTCCTTCCAGGTTGCAGGAATTTTCTGGGGTTCACTTGTCTTGGTGCCCCTCTCTCCAGCCATACTGAATTCCTGCCAGCTCCTACTCTGGCCTCTCACTTTGGTTCAAGTCCTATCCTCAATCCCCTTTCTCCCTGCCCACTCAACCTGTGGTCTCCACTGGATGCTCCTCTGCTGTGCGATTTCAGGGCTCTACCAGATCCCCAGTATCAGCTCTGAGATTCCTACAGAGCCTCTGCCTTCTAGCATGGTCAGCATTTTATGGTCCAGCTGCAGCAGGCTTGGACTCCTCCAGGGCAGAGCTGCAGCACTGTCTGCACCAAGCAAGACTTTAGAGGAGGGGCTGACCATGGTGCCTGGGCATCTGCTTCCTTGTTCTCTTTTGCCCCTCTGGCCCTGCTCCTGATGTTACCCTCTTGCCCTCCTCCTGTGGAGGATTGTAGACTATGTCATCCTTCTGTTGCTGAGAATGGTGACTGTCCTGCTTCAGTCCCCCCATCAGACAACTCTCTCTCTTAGGAACACAGAGAATGCACATAGACTGTGGCTTGGCCCTGGCACAAGGAGCAAGTAAGGAGTGGCAGGGCACTGTACAGGGAGAAGGGCAGGGAGTCCCACTCCTCCTGCCTCATGGGCCTTTTTGGTTTATGCCAGTTAGATGTGTGCAGAGGGTGGTGGTGTAACTCTTGGCTAAGGCAGGCTTGGGAGCCTGCGCATCACTGGCAGATGCTGAGCTAAGTGGTGGCAGGGATAGAGCAGGCCATGGCTCAGAAGCACAGCCAAGACTGCCTGGCAGCAGACGGGCACAGGGGACCTTGGGTTGCTGATGAGAATCCAGGCTCAGGGCGAGCATCCTCCTTAAGCTGGAGGTACGAGTCAGGCTGAAGGATTGAGGCAGATATAGGGAAGAGCAAGGTCCGAAACATGGCCCTGAGGCCTCTAGATTGTCAATACGAGCCCAAGGGGGTGCTAAGCAGGAAGGACCAGGCAGGATGGCAAAGGTACATTGAGAAGCCAATGGGATAGGCCTAAGGTTTGGTGATCATGTGTCTTATATCCTGATATTAAGGATCTGGGTGAGCCTGGATGTGATCCCTCCCATGGTTACTGGCCAGCAGGGAATCTGCTGGAGTGGGTTCCCCGGGAGCAGAGCTGCCCACTACCAAATTTCCGCTTACATCCCTGCTGTTTGGCTAGCTCTCTTGTAGGTCCCCACTGAGAGCCTGAGTTGCTGAAGAAATAGCACAGCACACAGCAGTGTGGGCCTTCAAGTGGGGGTGTAGGTCAGATTGGGTGAGTCTACAACTCTTCCAAAAATGCACCCTGATCTTGCCACTCTCGGCCTGCAACTCTGCCCTAGTGCCCTCCCTGCAGACAGCGGGCAGCGTCAACTCTGGCTTCAACCTACTTGGCCCCCATGACAGTCTCGTTCCCTTTTCAGCCACACTTCTCATTCACTTCCATGTCCCAAGCACTGGAGCATTTGACTGTGGTATTGAAGGTTATCCTAGCGGCCACTAAGTATTGTTCACCCTGCACTTGCTACTCCAAGTACCCTGACCCTCATTCAGCCTGGTATCTCTACCTTGCCCGCAGTTTCACAGCTCCTACCACCTTTTTCCTGCCCACTAGGCTGGCAGAGCCCTGATGTGCCACTGTGACAAGTCACAGGGGTTTGTGGCAACAGTCCCCATCTAGCAATTCCCTGCTCACCTAATCGCAGGGTCCACCTGCTCGGCCAGGTGCCTGCTCACCTGGCTTCCTAAGTGTAGGTGCAGGGTGCTCTGATGGCTTGGTGGGCCTGGATGTGAGGACTTGATCACTGTGGGTTTTGCAGCTGGAGTTGAGACCTTCCATGCTGTTCCCATTAGGCTCTTCTTTGGGGGCCCAGCTTTCTGAGTCCTCATTCACCTGTGGGCTCTTCCTACCCCAGGATCATCACCTCTCGCGTCTCCTTGCTTTGGCCTCCTCTGTTGGATACTCTACTTGGCCTCACCCATCCCTCCCTTCTCCCTGAGCCTGTCTCAGAGCAATATGTCCTGATCTGAGCTTGCTGTGCATCTTGTGGTCCTTTATGTGACTTTGCGTGGGGTAGATCAGGCTACCACACCCACTGCTACCTCTCTCGCAGGTTCTTGTGAAATCTCATGCAAACAGTCATTTGTATACTCACAACTCTTGTTCTCAGGCTCTGCTCCATAGCAGGCCTAGGCTGCAGCTGGGGCTGCAGCATGAACAAGCCAGGCCCTGACCTCAGTACTGTCACATCTGGTGGCAAACAACTTTCAGGGTCTTATATTTATCATTGCCTTTTTTGCAGGAGGCTAAGCAAGGTGCTTTGGGGCTGGTGGGCAAGTGAATTCTTCTGTCCAAGAGGATGAAGCAGAGCCTTTACAGATCCTCTGGCTATTTGACCTCTGCCTTTCACTGCTCACACCCTCCCCGTGGCCTCTGTGGTGTCCATTGACCACTGAACACCTCTTTGGAAGTGTGTCCAGACAGCCCTGTCTAGAGCTAACTTCGGACTCTTTGTCTCATCATGGTTTCTAGATGACTTCCTGGCTGCCCTGGATGGAGGATCCTTCTGTTTGGTGCACTGAGATCCCAAGCTGGTACCTGATGCTCACTGACTGCTTGAGAAAGAAGGGCTCTGACCTCCAGAAGAATACCCCTCTGGTGCCAGGTGACTGGGCTTCCACAGAGGTCCTTCCCATTGAATTCTCTGCCTTTTCCCTGTGTGAACCGAACAGCTAGCTTATAGCCTTTTTCAGTTGTGAGCAGGTATGTTTGTTGCCAGGCAGCCACTCCAGACTCTGGGAGTTGAGACCTGGGAGCAGAGAGCATGGCACCCACAGTGAAGCCAACCTGTCACGTAACTGCCGGCTGGCTGTGACTGCTGCTGAGAGTCGCACTTGGGAAATGTGGGGAACTGATCTTGGCAACAGAGCCCAGGTGTGGATGCTTGAGAAGCTGAGTTGTCTGCATGGCTGAGTTCTCTTTTCACCTGCTGGCCACTTCCAGGTGAGTATCCCAAGGTGTGGAGTGCATGCTATGAGTGAAAACCGGGCTGCCATGCTAGCTTGGTGGAGCAGTTCTGACAGCCCCAGTACCCTTATGTGTCACCTCCTCCAGGAACAGATGGTCCTTACTGCCTCAGCTCCCCAGAAACTGCCTGCTAGTATCATTCTTTCAAGCCTGGACCACAGGCTTTTCTATCTGAATCTTCTTCCTTTTCCCACCTGGGCTCCGGTCCCAGGAAACATCTCTGCTCCCCACCAGGGCAGTGTTCAGACACATCCCATGCCTAACTATCAGCCTTCATACCAATTTGTCTAAAATACTTCTGGTCCTCCGTGATCCCTTCCATACTCCACGCCCCGGGGAGATTTACCTATGGTCCTAAAGCCTGCAGTAGAAGCCTCCACTTTGAGGCCCTGGCTGACCCCTAAACACAGCAGAGCTCTCCTGCTCTGTGCTTCACGGCAGCAACCCCATCACACTGCTTGTGGGTTTCACTCTCATCATGGCTCCTCATAGGAAAGAATGTGGGGCTTCTCTGATATATCTCCGGGGTTCAGCAGATGGAATTCCTCAATAAACTTTCAACAAATCAGCTGTCATTGTCAGGATGCCTTTCATGACAAGGTAAAGATAAAAAGAGTTTCTTTGGGACGAGTCTGATAACTACAGGGAGAGAGGGTTTGGGGTAGACTCAGAGACAGCTGGAACAAAAGCACCTGGACCTCTCACCTCTTCAGCTCTTGTTTCACTTCCTTCTCGAGGTGAAAGACCTGACCAATGACTACAGAACTTTCTACTTACCAATCCAAAGGGAATGGATCCACCTTTCTACATCTGCATTGAAAGACTCAAGAAAGGACTGGCGGTAGAGCCCAGATGCAGAATATTTGCTTAGCATGAATGAGACCCTGGGTTCAATCGTCTGCATGCTGATTGGCCCAGCATGAGCCAGTTGCCCAGCCCCGCACCCACTATGAGGAAGGTAATGAAGAGTATGGCAGTGTCTGTTCGAAAAGCATGCCTAGAGATGGTTGGAGCAGGGTAAAGAAGTATCCTAGGACACAGTGGATTCTCTGGGCAGACAAAAGAATGCTGACCACTTCATGAGTAGTACGTGAATGAATGAGTGAACCAGGGGCTGTGCATGTCCTTACAGACCACGGTCAGCTTCTGGAGTGTCTATGAATTGTTCTCATCGGTTCTTACCAAAGTCCTGTGAGCCCACATTTCACAGATGAGAAACAGACTCAAAGTCATACAGTGAATCAGAGAGCCAGGATTTCACCTTGTGGTCCCTGATGCATGTCTTTGGAGGTTTTCCTCCCACACAGGAGTGGTCAGCCACTGGAGAAAGGGGCAAGTGATTTCCTGGAGAGAAGAAAGGGATACTCTGCTAAGGGATAACTCTCAATGCATTTCTGCACCAATTCTTGGTAAATATTCTCTTGTCTTAGTCAGCACTGCACACAAAAAACCTAGCTGCTGCTTTGGGGATTTGGAATAGTTTTAGTGGTAAACTATGATCCCAGCAATGATTACCTTAGCTTGTGACTGGATCCCTAAGGGACCAGAACATCGGGGTCAGATATATAAGAGACAATCTTGATCGGAAGTTTAACTCAGTTTCTACCTCCCACTCACTGTCATATACACCAAGGAACCCCCTGCTTTTTCCTGAACCTTTACTCTAACTCCTTGCGCCGTTCCCCAGTGCACCCTAATCTGCTGCTATCCTGGTCTGCAATTAATCATTCGTGCTCCAGGACCCAGGGGCTCATGGTGGCTTGAAAAGGTGGCTTCACTGTCTCCTCACTGTCTGCCCCCTTGTACCTGACTGTTACTCCTTCCATGAAGAGGTCAAGTCTGCATCTATAACTCTTGAATTCGGGCTTGCCTGTGACTTGCTCTGACTGGTGGAAGGCAGCAGCCCAGTTTTCAAGAGATCTTGCAGCTTTGCTCTTGTCTCTGCTGAGCCTGCTGAGCTGCAGGTGGCTATGCCTGGGCTAGCCTGCTACAGCAAGGGAGGTCATGTGGGATAGACAAGCGCAGTCCTAGTAGAGGCTCACCAGGCTGACTGATGACAGCCAGCATCAAGAGTCATACACATAAATAAAGAATAAAGCCACCTTGGGCTTTCCAGGCTAAGTCAAGACAGGAGACTGTAGCCACACCTGAGACCAGGAGAAGACCTCCCAGGTGAGCTTCGTGGTGGCCAAGTTGCAGAACTGTGAACAAATAAAACAGTCCCTATTTTAGACAGCTAAGTTTGGAAGTGGTGGGTGCAGGGTAGTCCTTACCTGTAACAAGTTAAAGAAATGTTCAAATTCTGGGCTGGGGGTTTAGCTCAGCAGTGTAAGCACCTGCCTTGGAAGCATGCATTAGTGAGTTTGATCCCCGATATTGATTTTAAAAAAAAGTTCAAATTCTAAGCCTAGCACCAGTCAATGGGACCCTTTTTGGAAATAATAGAATCTTTGCAGATATAATCAATTATGATGAGGTTATATTGGGCTGGGTGTAGTGTTGCACACCAGTAGCGCCAGCACTCTGGAAGACCAAGGAAGGAAGATCACAGTTTAAGACCAGCTTGGGCAATTCAGTGATTTAGTGACTTAGCCCTAGCTACTGGCTTCAGGACTGTGCACACATGGAGCCCAAGTATATTGCTCAGGGTTTTCTTTGAAATGAAGGGGGATGTGTTTATGTGCACATATGTATGTATATGCTTTTTTCTGCACATGAAAGTAGTTTATGAAATTTTAAGCATGCTTTTAAAAAGTATGAATAGTGCTGGGGTTTTAGCTCTGTGGTAGAACACTTTCCTAGCATGCATAACCCTTTGGGTTTAATCCACAGCGGGCGCACACACACACACACACACACACACACACACACAGTATAGCAAAGTGAAAAAAGAAAAGAAAAGTTACCTATATTTTTGTCTTCTAGTCTACTGCCAACATTTTTTTTTCTTTTTTTTTTTCTTTTTTTTATTTTTTAGCACCAGGAAATGAACTCCTGACCTGGTGCTTGCCAGGCAGGTACTTATGCCACTGAGCTAAATCCCAGCCCTAACATTTTGTTTTTAAATCCTTGTATTTAGGGGCTGGGGGTTTAGCTCAGCAGCATAAGTGCTTGCCTTGCAAGCAGGCAGTCGTGAGTTCGATCCCTGGTACCGATAAAAAGGAAAAAGACAAAAAAAAAAAAATCCTTGTATTTAGCTGAGCATGATGTACACTGCGATCTCAAGCATTCCAGAAGGCTGAGGTTGGAGCCTAGTCTGGGCAACTTAATGACTTAACGGGACCTAGTGTAAGCCCGTCTCAAAAATAAATAAAACCCTAAAAATAGAAATTAAAAGGTATAGCTTAGTGTAAAGGCCCTAGATTCAATCCACAGTAACAAAGAGAGAGAGACAGAGTCAGAGAGAGAAGAAAAGAGAGAGAAGAGGAAGGAAGGGAGGGAGAGGAAAGAAAGAATCCTTATTTTTTATGCAAATATTTACATATATTTTTTCAAAGCTACAAATAGGGTCACGCCATGTGTACTGATTGTGCGCTATGCTTTTCACATGGCAAGACATCACGGACACTGTTACACATCTGTAACTATGGATCTGCTCATTTAGTATATACTAGTTGAAAGTTCACTATGTGTCCGCTACTTTACATAATGCCAGGAAGCAGTGAGGAAAAGACAGTGCACTAATAAGTTGTCTTCATGAATCTTGCAGCCTAGCAGAGGAGATAAACATTAAGCCACTAATTACATCACTAGCTTTTTTTTATTTTTTATTTTATTTTATTTTTCTATATTTAGTCACTAGCTTTTTGCTTTGGAAGATTCCGAAACTTTTAGATTTATAGAAGATGTGCAAAATTGAGGCAGAGTTCTCATATAACTTTCACTCAGCTTCCCTGAACATCTCCCTTACTGTAATTTCATCATATTATATTGATGAAACTAAGAAATGCACCCTGGTACTGCACTGTTTAGTCAGCACTCACCCTTCCACTTTTGTATCTGCCCTAGAATGTGATCTCACGTTTCACATTGCATTCGATCGTCATGTTTCTTGAGTCTACTCCCATGTGGGACAATCTTTGCTTTTCTTGTCTCTCATGAACTTAAACTATTTTTTTGTTTGGATGTGCTTGCAATGCATAATTATTATATTCCAAAACTATATTTTCTTTTTGTACCTGGAATCAAACTCAGAACCTTGTGCTTGCTAGGCAGGCGCTGTGCCACTGAGCTATATCCCAGATCAGTTAGTACATTCCTTGTGGAGACTTGGTGTGTGTGTACATATCACATCTTAATCTTTCTTACTGCCCCTTTCTCCCTTCTCTCCTTTCATCTCTTGGTCACCATTTCTTCTGCAAAATATATGTCTCTGTATTATTTCCTGTTATCTATGTTTTGATTTTGATTTGTATTTTTGGTTTCTGATAAAAGAGAAACCACACGATATTCAAGCTTTTGTATCTTATTTATTTCACTTAACATTATGGACTCAAGGTACATCCATTTTCCTACAAATGACCCAAGTTTATCCTATTTAAGGCAGAGTAGCACTCCATTGTATATAAAAACCACATTTTCTATACCTATACATCTGTTAATGGGCATCAGACTGTCTCCAACATGTAACTATTAATAATTATGCTGCTATAAAAATAGGTATGCATGTGTCACTGTAATATGATGCCTTTTACTTTTGGGGGAAGATACCTAAAAAGGAAATAGCTAGGTGGGCTGGAATTTCTAGTTTTAGTTTTTTGAGGACTCTCTATACCAATTTCCATAGTGGTTGTACCAGTTTACATTCCTACTAACAGTGTATATGGCTGCTTTTTACCCTGAAGCCTCACCAGCATTAGTTATTATTTGACTTTTTGGTGATAGCCATCTCAGTGTTCTTTCAATTTGCATTTCTCTAATGGTGAGAGATGTTAAATGTTTTTGCATGAAGACTGGCCAATTGTATTTCTTCTTCT